TATTATTGTCATTTAGATAAATTTAATTGAATAATTATTAAAATCAATATCAATTTTTATTTTTTATGTTAATTAATATAAAGAAGTCGTTTACATCCATTTTTGCAAATTAATTAAAAAGAGCCACATATCTCATTTGTTCTGAATTTAAAGGAGTCAAGAGTTGACGGCTGCAGTTTTATCTTCAAATCAGTTTGAACGATGGTTGTCACATAATTAGCAAATTAGTTGGTTTGTTACAAATCTTCAACATGTTATTGCTAATTTTCAAGATTTTGTTGCAACTATACACCTTACAACTATTGATTCAAGAGGTTGTTGCAAATTTCATACTACCGTTGGTTTTTAAGATACTATTAGTAGAATTCCACCATACTACCAAGGTGTTATAAATACTCAACAATGAGATCAAGGACACAGGACCTGCTTTTTACCCAACTAACTCAATGTTATTTACATTTTAGTTTTACAAGTAATGTCTTAATTTAGATCTAATTTTTTTAAACAGCTTTTCAAATTTAGTTTTTAGCTCTACGCTACTATTAGTTTTAACTTTAGTTTTTGTTATTTTATTGTAAACATCTCCACTAATGTATTTAGTTTCCTGTAATTTAATTTACTACACTTCACCCTATATTCATCTTCCTAACTTCATTTAAGTTTAGTTTTATACTTAATTTTTTATTTCATTTTTTATGCTTTCATGCTTTCACGCTGCATCATGCTTCATCTTTGCAATTTAGTTTTCTTGCCATGCACTCTCTTTCTCCTCTTTTGCTTTATTTTTCTCTTTTATTCTAATCAGCAAACTAATATTTTGGCTCTAGTCATGGCTGATATTTTTTTAGGATAATTATTTATAAACCTTTATACAAGAATACACCCCAATTTCTACGACAATTGTCTGATCATAGTGCATCTCCTAATCTATTTAACTAATGCTTTTTCATTGACTTGCAATCAAGTTCCATGCTTGGAAATATTGAGAGTCATCGGGAATATCTCTTTCTCACTTTGAGCACTTTGAGTAGCACGTTTTCGCAGTTCTATTTAACTCGCGGTCAGAAAAGGAGATTTTGGAGACAACAGAAATACAATAAAAATCCTTGAGTTTATTTATCTAGTATCCTTAAGGCACAAGATAAGAAGTATTAATTATGTAATAATTATCACTTTTTGTCTTAAAAAAATAAAGTTAATTTTTTATTTTAATTATAAATATCATGTGTTAAATTTTTATTCGTTAATTTTA